TAATCATGCAACAGTGCAACATATAAACAAGATATGATGTTGTTACTTTTTCCTACATCACTTCAAGGTGTTTCAGGTTCCCCATAAACGAACCAGACGTTTGTTTGTGGAAATGTAGGAATTTTTTCCTTTTCAGGGGCAGCAACTGCAACACAAAGGCCCACTGACCACTGGTTCCAAGATAAACACATTCAACGCACCAAATGCCACTGATGAACAAACAGCGGGCTTTGCAACACTACACATGCACACACAGATTCTCAAAGAGTCACGAATGTACTTCTGGTAGCTGTCATGGCTTTATTATAGTCACTGCCTTTTTAGAAGAGCAACTGAGATTCCAGTGGACAGGAGGTCCTGCCATGAACAGTGATTTTTTAGCAGAACTTTAGGATGTAGTTACCGATTTAGGGTTAAGACTCCACCGAGTACTTACAGTTCTATATGCTTTATAGCAGGCTGATTTGTGGTCTCCACTAAATGCAAATCTACAAAGACGTATGCTTTTTTCTGCTTTTAGTCCAAGGGCAGACTCAACATACATTCATGTGACAAACTTTGTTAAATTTTGGATTCAACCAAGTCTCATTACGGCCTCTTCAGTCTGGAGACGAGTGTGTTTTGTTGCTTGTTCCACAGACAGCTACATTTTGCACAAAAGCAATTCCAGTAATAAACATCTGCTTTTGATACAACAAATTTATTTCGCTGACACCATTCATTTAGTTTACAGTTGCAATAATGGACATAGCTACAAAAAATACAACTGCTTCTTTTTCAGCATATTCTTCAATAATAATAATATAACAATAATAATAATAAAACAAAGAATTACCTGATTTTGTTTTCTGAGAAAAATGAGATCCACATATGAGGACATTTGTTTTAAATTTCGATAGAAGGGTAGCAGGCCCTTGTAGAGCAAAATTTAGTATTTTGGTCTAGACAACTGTTATGCTCCCCTAAAAAGGTCCAGGGATGAGGTTGAAAAAAGGAGACAGGGAGTCAAAATGGTTAAATTAAAGAGTTTTATTACTGCTTCTGTTAATAACCAAACTCAAAGAGACAGACAAGCCTCTATCACCATTTAAAGAAACAAAACTCAAGTGTTGGTCAGTAAACTGAAAAGTAAGTAAAAAAGGATTAGTTGCCAAACACACTCCTCTCTACCGAGTAGGAGCCAACAGTCACAACACACAGCTCACTAGCTGCAACCACTAACATGGCTCTCTGGCACTAGAGCTCACCTTTCTCTGGCCTTAAATACTTCTAATTGCCGATGAGAGTCAGCTGTACAGAAAAAAGGTGACACATAAGGCAGGAGAGACAGCAGGACACACCCACCCAAGGGCAAACTCAGGAGGCGGCCCTGCTAGGGCTGTGACAACAACCCAAAATGTGATGTCCACACATGTGGACGCCAGGTCCTAGGAGGTTAAAGGTCACACCTTTTTGCTAATGCCTGGCATTCAGCCTATTCATCCTTTGTTTTCTCTTTAGCTTGGGCCACTAATAAATGCTTTACTTTACTGCTTGTCAACACTTTAGGAATTATGATACTAATATTTTGTACTTTTTAAATCGTGTCCATTTCAAAGCCTTACTGTGTGGTTCCAGGTGCATCATGACAGGCCTGAGTGTTTTCCGCCACCTCTGGAGCTGGCTTTGCTACCCATGCTGCAACAGCTGGCTGTCATATTGGAAAGATGGCATGCTGCTGCAGTTGGTAGTGATATTGTAGCCACAGATGTAAATGTGAGTGTAGTTGTGTGTGTCATGGTGTTAGCCCTTTGATCGACTGTCCACCCTTCCTTTCGCCTATGTTAGCTCAGACATGCTCCAGCCCATCCACGACCCTTAAATAGATAAGTGGTTAATAAAAAGGACAGAGGGATGCATTTCAAATTACAATAATCTTTCTTAAGAAATATGAAAATGAAATCCGATATAATTGAATTAACAGATGGCAGCTACACTTATGTTTTCAGTTTCACTTTTCTTCTCTCTGAATCCTCATTACTTGTATTTGTTTTAGTTGAGCAGGTGGTCTCTTCAGGGGGTTTCAAAGGCCTGCGGTATGACTGTTCATACTGCAGGCACTGTATTGTGTTATATCTGATTTGGTTGTGCTCCAGTGCCGTCTGTCCTCACCTCTTTCTGGGAGTCCTCGTTGACCCTTTGCTTTTTCTGACTTAACAGGAAAGGATCCATTTTCAGCGCGGTAATCTGTCTGTCAGTGTAAGAAGCTGGTGGCGAGTGTGTACGTGCGTATATGGAGATTACAAGAGGAACACCACTTTGCTCAACATCCCTAAGCCATCACTGGAGACAAAACTTCCCAGTCTTTAGTACCTCCTGTCTTCACACCAACAAAGGACAACGCTTAGGACCACAAAGGTGTTTGCCAGGTTTTTGTGGACCCTCTTCACACTCCACTGCCTCTAAAGAACACATTCCAGTGAGGGTGTTGGGTCAGCGAAGGCGCTGAAGGACAGTCTTTGGCCTGCAAGCTGCGGTAATTTGTTTATTCTGATTAGGCCCAGGAATGTCAACTATGAAGAGACACTACAAGTCATGACAGCTTCGTTTGACACTTTTGGCAATCTGTCATTGACACTAGTGAGCAAGCAACTCAGCACAATGCCACTCCACTGTGTGGACAGGGAGAGAGTTTTAATCTCTGCAGCATCTGGTTGGGTTCTTCAAAAAAAAAAAAGGAAGATGAAAGCACGTCTGTTTATCTGCGTGATTTATCTCGTGTCTTTCTGCACCAACACATTCACTTTGCCCGGCCTACAGTACAGCATTTGTATATGAAGATTTACACTCCTGTAAAAGATCTTATCGTAAAAGGAGGCTTGTTGACGCAAAGGAGAAATAAAAGGGAGATGTAATGAGGGCTAAATTCTGAAGCCCCTTGTTTAAACCTTTGTCTATCATCACATCATTTTTGGATGACAAAGTCCAGCCTAAACGCACATTGAAAACATTAGTGCATCACATGCGCTTTTATTTAACCTTAGCAACACAACACTGACCACATGTTACAAAAGATGTTTAAATAAATCTGCAAATCTAAAAGTTAACGAGGTAAAAGCAAAGTTATCAAAGGCACATTTTTTCCAGGGTTATTATTTTAACTTCTATGTTTTATGCTCAGCTTAAAAAAAAACACCACTGTACCTCTGGCAGAGTAAAAACTGCAAAAAAAAAAGAAAGAAAAGAAACAAGCAGGAATGCTGCTTTACATGCACACCCATTAAATTCTACAATTTTAGTATGCTAATAAACATGTCAATTGTCATTTTACAAGTTCCAGATACACTTCATCTTCTCGCCGCGTGTACCTTTAGTAAATACACCACAGTAGATTCTGTTTTTATAAGCTGGAAGTTATGAAATACATGTTCACACGGATCAGTTGGTGGAATCATTAATTTCATGCTTCATATCCAACCCAGACTCCTTTTTTTTCCTCTTAAGCCGAATTGATGAGAAACAGAAACTGGCTGGATTCAGTGGATGTGTCATGTTGATGTCTGTGGAAAATATCTTGGATGTAACTCGTCCTAATGATCTGCTCTTTTTCGAAAGTTTAGAGGTCGGAATTCGATGAAAGCTATTGGACAAAAAAAACAACCCCTTTTACCTTAACTCGCTCGAGACGCTAGCTTAATATAAGCATTTACACCTTTGTGAATATGAACGAATTGCTTCGTGGTATCATATACTGAATGCTATGTACAGCATATATAGTGTAAATCTGTAAGAATCACTTGTAGCAAGTGTGCAAATGTGAATGTTTTTCCCCTCAGAGTCGCATATGCATTGGGATTAATGTCCTTGAATGATATTTGTCTTGTTTTTTTACAGTCAGCAAAGGTGATCACTCATATCGTGAACTTTGGCATGTGTTAGTTGCTCCTCGGCCAAAAACACAAGGCAAATACATCTCAGTCCAGAATCTAATCCAATAATAACCTCACACGGTGAACTCTAAAAATAATCACACTCTGTCAAAAACACAAGTGCATAATTGCCAGCGAATAACTGCAAGCGACCTTCCTAATTCTTACCAACTGTATATCACCACTGGAATCTCAAGGTCATCTTAAAAGTTCTTACAGTATCCATAATGCAGACAGGAATTCAGTATACACTGTACGAAAGATAGTTTCATGAGTACAGTTAGGATAACAAAAAATAATACTAAAAACACAATATGTAACACAACCGCGATACTGATGGCCTGTGTTCTGTTAGCAACATTTTAATTACAAATTACAAAAAAAAAAAGTCACAATGCTGTCCTGCAGTTTTAGAGTCTGTGCAGCTCTGTGGTAGCTGCTTTCTATTCAAACAAAACAAAACAAAAAAAACGTTCAAGTCCTTGACATTATTGCAACACAGGTCCAGGAAAATAAATTGATGTGCGACATTTTGTGTGAATATTCCCTACAAGCTCACACATTTACAACGTCTTCCTCATTTGTAACATCAAGCTTGTGAAATCGCTTGGGAACAGAAAATCAGTTCTGGTGCGTCGCGCCTTGATCTGCGCTCCTCCTCCTCCTCCTCACGCCGGCTTTTTCAGCTCAGTGTCGGGAAAGGTTACGAAGCAACAGCGGCGCAGGCTGAAGAAAAGATTCACTGGGTGACTCCCCTGTCCAGCGAAAATGAGATGAGACGAGAGTAGGAAATAGGAAATGTCCCTCTAATGTGTGGAAGTCGAGTTCACAAGTTCAAAAGACTAGGAGAAGTCCAGTGGGCGGATCATCATGGTTGTTGCTCGAAGTGAGTAGCTGGGGCCCTTAAAGTAGTGCCACTTGATACCGTTCAGCTTCCCTATGTGTTGTCCTTGGTTAAAGTACATACCATTAAGGTTTGAAGGGCCACAGGCATCAAACCACCAACCTGGGAAAAAGACATAAACATATACGTATTATTAACAAATTATACAGACCAGAGAATTATTCCTGCAGTGTTGGAGCAGTGATAAAGTTACTTCAACTGCAGGCTTTGTGCTTTGTGAAGGTTGAAAGGTTCCCATGGCCTCACCCGCAAAGGCTTGGCATAAGTTCAGACACCGTTTCCTGCTATCTGCTGAATGTGTTGCTGTCAGTGGGTTCATCAGCATGCCAGTACCTGTTGCTGAACACTTTTGGGACCTTCTTCTATTTAAAGCAGTGCATGTATGTGCTTCAGTGGGACATCAGAGCAGTGAGAGGCATGGGAAACTTTTATTCCACCCACAAGGTGACACATTTTATAATTTCTCTGAACTATATCGGTTAGATGAAGAAGGGGCCAAAACTCAGGCACCAAACTCAGGCATGTTGAGTTTTTACGAGGGCCTCTTTTATAGTTTTATCCAGTTTCTCAAGTACATGGGAATAGCTTTCCATTTCTTCTTAAAGGCTAAAACTGTGGACCAACTGGCAAATGTCTGCCGAGGAACTTTGGTAGCCTGAATCCTATTTGTAATCTTTCAGAAGTACTTTTAATCTTTAATCATATATTTAATGTCCACCTTTTAACTCATTTATTTGAATGATACGTGATATTTTCCACTCTGTGACAGCGCTGGTGATTTCCACCCGAAAGAGACTGGTGTCTGTGCCAAGAAGTTAGCACCAGCAGAACACTACAAAATGGATGTACCTAATGTTGGAACAGCCGGTGTCAGTGGTTGCTGGGACAGCTACAGCAAAAACACAAAGAAATAAAAAACAAAACAATGATTTGTGGACACAACCCACGGATTTTGAATCCCGTGATTTTCTGCCAATAAAAATGACAATGGAATCACTTTCAAAACTAATGATATGTAACGTTCTCAAATCTGCCAGAACGTGAGCTGTTTTGTGAAAATGCACTAGCACGAGCATCATGCTGGTGGGAAATTAAAATCTAATTTTGCCCGTTATAGATTTGGAAACTGCAGATCACGCTTTACTTTCCTCTCACTTCCACTGCTCTAACTTATTTTCTATGCAGGAATAACACAGTTAGACCCTTATAGCCCTGGCCTCTCTTCACCTAGAAGTGAATACAGAACTGAATATTAATTGATTATTAATTCTCCATGTCACCTGTGCAGTGGGCGGAGAGTTTGAAGAGAAGGGGAGGCAAAACCTGGTATGGTGGAAATGTTTGGCACTACAAGTACATCTTTAAACTCCTTCTACTTTTTCAAAAACAAAATGGAAATAACATTAAAAACATCTTAAAAACTTTATCTTTAAAACAAATCTGGGTAAGAGGTCTTTTTATTTATTTAAAGCCTATCAGTGATGCTTGCAATATTGTTATTCAGACAGTTTCTGCTCTTACTTTTAGACATTTGTTTAACAAGTATAATATCTCCTGGTTTGATCCTGGGAGAAGACACAAATTTTGTGAATTAAATGAAAAGCTGTACCTTTCTATCTTATTTGATGATGATATAAAATGCTGTTTATGTAATACTTTCATCCACAGAGTCTGCACTCTTAATAATTCAATTCTCGCTTGTTTCCATGTGTTTCACATCTATTTAATTTTGCGATTCTGAAAAACAGGAATTCATGAATTTCTGGTTTATGTCATCCTATCTGCCACAGATCAGTTCTTATATCTGAATCACTGAACACACACGGGAACACAGTCAGATATAGATGGAGGAACGGAATGTGTCAGTCACATGGTGACAAATGGCACTTCTCCCTTCTGGCGGTCCCGAATACCACAGCGCACAACAGCATGACATTTCACTGAGACCTGTCAGTAATCAGGAGCAGAGTTTTGCCCTTGTTGCTGGCACACATCACACAGATATAAGTTTCACATTGATTGCTGCTTCATCCTAGGACAAATGGCTAACCTGGCATGGAAACCAGTGCACGCCTCTTTATATTTACACTGCTGCGTATCATTTCAGGTGCAAGTGCCAGTGGGAAGTGAAATTGCACTTGTGGTGGTGCAATTTAACTTCCCACAAGAAATTCAGTGAAGAGAAGGTTAAAGACGGCTATTTTCTGAGCTCAAGAATAAAAAGTATAATTAAGGAAAGGGGTTGCTTAAAGTGGCAGGAAACTCATCAAGCATCTCAGTAGTTCTAACAATGCAATGTCCAAAATCCCCATGTAGACTACCTGCACCGCACCAAACAAGAGCTAAGCTGTTAGAAAACAGCTTGTCCTTCAGCACTGAATGTGAGCATTTAGCAAGTAGGAGAGAGATATTTTTAACCCAGCACTTGGTGGAGAACAAAACAGAGCTGTGAAGACCAAGAAAGACTTAAACACACCCACCCCCCCTCCCACACACACACACACACAGATCGAAATGAAAAAGCCAGTGTTTTTAATTTTTTTACACCTAATTTATCAGGACTACACGTACTATAAAAATAACAACTGAGACAAAATTAGTCTTTAAACTGAAAAACCTGTTTTTTTGCAACACGTTCTGTTGAGTCTGCTTCATTTTATTGAGATTGCATTCTTTCCTCCCATAAAGCAAATGTGGACCACTTGCCATCTTTTACAGTACTTGCTGATATACTGCAGACCACACAACCGCTGCCATACACATAAACATTTAGTGTGCACATCTCGATCCTTTGGGATTAATGATTAGTGGCCTCCCGGTTTCCAGCCCACAGCTTTTTACGAACTTGTAAAATATTTGAGGATGTTTTCCTTTGAAAAACTCTCAAGCACTGCAGTTTGTTCTCATGATGAAAGATGTCCTCCTTACTCCCGATGTCTGAGCGTCATCCCTACTGTACGCTCTGGATATATATATTATGTGTGTCCGTACTGTATCCTCCTCTGTATTCTTAGCACGGCACGCTGTGGTTATCCTCATAAAGGTAACAGAGACATATTTTCCCCTTGTATATTCAAGGCACTGACGTCATTTGATGTCAGACTTGCTCTTATAAATGCAGGGAAATCAAATGATATACCACATACTGTACCACTAACTCAGCGCTGGGTTCAGCTCAGCCTCAAATCAGGCTACATGTTGTCATGCTTCTCATTTGCGGCTGGCCACAGGCGGGCCATGAATCAAGCAGAGTAGAGTGTTGATCATTGATCAATTCCAAGTTCCCTGTAACCCACTGCATTTAGAATGACCTAAGAGGTAATTCCGATCTTAAATTTGCATTTAGAAAATCCTTGATTGGTACCAGGTCAGGAATCCACAGCAACAGAGCTTCTACGAGGTGACATCAAGGGTCAGCGGGCTCCACTTACACAGCATGAGAAGCAGAGACGTTTTAAATCTCTCTGACACTTGGTGCCGCGCCCAGGGATTTTTATATTGTGCTTGTTTCCAACCTCAGTGTTACACATGTGGGAGTGGATGCAGAATATAGACTAATAGGTACAGATAGATCTTTAATTGGCCACATTTGCAGAACGAGGAGGTTTGTGATCACAGTGACCCGAGCTTATGACTGTGCAATGAAGGTTGTGGTTATGGAATAGTTATAGTTCTGCATCACGCACTCGTAAAAGTGCATTGTGTCCTGAGCGCTGCATAAGAAAAGCGATACTTCTACCTCTTCTGCGTTATCCTTTGGGGTCTTTTTGTAATTGTTGAAATTGCGGTCATGGTAACGTTGACATTTACAAAGCAATCTGGTGAGATGGGGAATGTGACAACATTACGAAGAACAAAGTCCGACGGGGCAAGAAACCCAAAATGATAACACAAGAGTTTTAAACAAACCCTTAGGGAAGCCAAACAATTTTGGTTATGAAAAAACAAACAACTTTGATAGTGTGTGCCCAAACTGACCAGGACCGAGCTGTACACAAACATCGCAGACCCATTCAGCAATTAAAGAGTCAGTCATTTCTCCCAGGAGGGCCCAAAAATGAGCCGAGACACACGCGGAGCAAAGACCGGACTCATATTTTCCAGGTGACTTCAAATGAATATGTTTAAACTAGCAGCATTTTTGAGACATTAGCGATTTGATTATCTGATCGCTCTTCTTCCTGCGCTTGTCAGACTACATGTGTAACAATGTTACAACCACTGCACGAATGCACTTACCACCAGTTAGCATGAGGGCGCATTTGCACATGCAGTTGTCATTGTCCATGTCCTTGGTACTGAAGTCTGCTCCGTGGATTACTAGACTGCTCTGTCTGCCCGCAGTCCCACTGTGGCTTTTCAGGAACAGCCTGAAAGACATCAGGAGGAGGAAAAGGAGTGAGTCAGGACTCGAAAACATGTATGTGGGAGGAAGTGGGGGAGAGAAGTACGGCGAACACTGAAGGCAATAAAAGCACCGAGAAGACATAACGTGGTGCAGGAAACATCTCCTGAGAGATATTTATTTTTCAGTTGTGAGTGAGTACATGTGGAACACCTGGAACAACATTAAGAACAGGGTAGAGAGAATCTAAAATAAAGAATGAAAGACGGAGTGTATGAAAGAATTACAGACGAAAGTGTGAGTGAGACAGAATGTCTGGGAATCGCATGTCAGCCTGTAGAGCCAGTGAACGCTGATTTACACCGCAACAACAGGCTAAATCATTAAATGCAGACCTGTAACAGCTACCTGCAGTAAAAGAGGAATAAATAACCTGCTGAACAAATCATTCATCCATAGCTGGACACACAGGGAACAATCTCAATACAACATTTCTTCCCTGGCTTCTTGTGTCAGGTACATAGTCCTTGGACTTCTTCTTCAATTTTCCTACCAAGTCCAGGAAGATTTTGCACCAGGAGTGCAGTTTTCTCATGTTATCTGTGATTTATCGTGTAAGTTCTCTTGGATTGTTTGGATACTGTGCACATGCTACTATTAGTAATATTCTTTCTGCAGGTAAAAGTCTAAGAATCTTTTTTTCAAGACTGAAAATGAGAAGATGGTTCAGTACTACCAGAATGAAATAAGAACAAAGTATTTCGCCTATAAGTACACTAGATTGGGTGGCATTGTGGAGTGGTGGTTAGCACCTCCTTGCCACAGCAATAAGGCATTTCTGTGTGGCGTTTGTCTCTCTGTGCCTGTGTGGGTTCTATCTGAGTACTCTGGCTTCTTCCCACAATCCAAAGATATGCATGGGGTTACATCGAATGGCGATTCTAAATTGGCCAGAGGTGTGAATGTCAGTGCAAATGCTTGTCTGTCTCTCTGCATTAACCCTGTGATAGACCGTCCCGTACAGATTGCAGCCCACCTCTTGCCCTGTGTCAGCTGGGACGGACTCCAGCACCCCTACATGACCCTGATTTGGATAAGTAGAAATAAATGGATGTACAGATAACACTTACCTGAAATCAACATTTTAGTTGTGGAATTCTTGCACAGAATTTTTAACAATAGCTACATAAAACTAGTACCTGATAACTATCAATGTGCTTCTGAACCAATTTAGTGATTTACTTTCAGTAGTACCACGATTCGTAAACATCCATCTACTCATATGTTGACTACTTTTTCTAGTTTATTCTGAATTAACTGCAAATGGCACATAAAGAAGGTATGATGCTTCTTTTCTTGCTTTATCCCTGTACACACAGCCGTAAATGTTTCTTAATTAGCTTTTTTCTCTCTTAATTATCTCGTTAAGTCTAATTTTAGCAAAGTAATAGATGTGCAAGTTTACTAAACTTCGAGTTAAGAGAAAAAAAATCTTTTTCAAAACAACCTGAGTTCATTTAGGTGCATCTATTTACGTTTTCACTAACTTTCGTCATGAAATCCAAAATGCATTATTTTCACTGGTGTTTAAAGCATCTGCAATCATAAGCTTACTTAACCTTAAAAGCTTCTGTTTATACTCATCTAAGTGTATTTTAGGGATACTTTCTTGAGGCCTCTAGAGCAGAGCTTGGTAAATATCATTGCAATTTAAGAGATGCTATTGAAATAGCATGTTGGAAACAGCACGTTTAGGGGACTGATGAGCCATCACTAAGATGAATTCCTTCACACACTCAATGCACAGAGCACAAGCTGAAAACTAATATGAAGGTTGGAAGCAGATTTCTCCTGGGTGTGGCCCACTGTGAATTCAATCCTGGTGTGAGTGATATGTGCTGCATGGGGATATGACAATTCCTGCACCCATTGGACAGAACACGCCTTCTCGTATCCTGCCATATCGCAGATTTACTTTTTTCTCCATGGATACCCTTGTTTTTCTCACGCTCTCAGTTTCACTTTCTCCCAGCAGAAGGAATTGCACATCCAAAGATCAGGATCCCATCACCAAGCCAGTGAGGTCTCCATTATTATTATTATTGTTATTAAGTACGGTTCACTCCCAAACAAAGTAATTGCTTGAGATTATTTTATCGACAACAGGGCAGCGTGGGCGTGTTGTGAACTTTGAGTTCACGCTTTGAGTTTTCCGATGAGAAAGTAATAATGTAAAATGCGGTAATTTATGTTTAAAATAAACTCACCCAAAACCTTTTTGAGGCTTGTAGCTCTGAGGCATCAGGTTGTGCATCTCAAAGAACCAGACTGATAGGCTTCCCAGGAAAGAAAATCATTCAACGTGAAAGACTTCTGTATTTGGACAGCTGTGTAAACGGCCGATTTGTGCACCAGGGTAAAAAGTATGTCTGCTAGTCACAGAGGGGAATTTGCTAAGCCACTAAACCAGAAGGCACAATCCTACAACATAAGGGTGAGTCATGTTTCTAATCAGTGGCAGCAATGACCGCTGGACATGGCAAGTTTTAATAAGGGCCAGTTACAATTATGCAAGCAGTAAAGTGTCTAAATGTGCAAGTTCCTGTTTCGGTGTCCAAAACTTAGTACTAGAGTATTATCTGGTGTCTAAAAGGTAACAGATGTTTTTGGAGATATTTTCCAGGTCAAAGTAAACTCATCCCAAAGCGCTGCCTCACTTACATGTAGAATGACTTCCATCAACTAATTCCTGATCCCGACAAATACAGCATTCAATGTCGAGGATGTGGTCTGCTAACGCTCTGATAAAGAACAGACTGTGCTTCACATTTACTCTCTCTGTTTTCTTTAGCTCTTTACGATTTGTGTTTGCCTGATGAATCGCCAAAGCAGATCTTCAAGAAGTCTTTTCGACATGATGCTTTGACAAACTGCTCGGAGTGTTCTGTGGCTGTGCTTACCAGCTATGCTGCACATTTAAAAGACCGAAATCCCCTAATAAGACTGACATCTGCAGTTTTTCCTGTCAGATTGCATTAAGCACGCAAATGGTAAGTGGGATAATCCAAAGAGGGGCCAAGTTATGAATACAAGAGGAACAGATGCCTTTCCCGAAGCCTGTTTAGAATTAGACAAAGAAAAAGACCTTGGCAGATATGGCATCTTCCTGTTAATGAAATGTATCAAAAGACAGACATCTGCTCAGTCAGACTGGAAACTAAAAAGGCAATACGCGCTAATCTGATCTGGCGTTAAAGAAACTTAGTAATGCAATTCGTCAAGGTACATTAGTGAAAAAATAATTTTGGAATTATTTGGTTGTCTTAGTGACAAGAAAGGAGTTACGTGTCATCTCAGGTCTCTAACATCCACTGGAAATGCTGGGTGTTTCTGATGCTCTAAAGTTACAGTGTGTAAAATGCTGCTAGATGTCAATAGATTGCAGATTGCGGTCAACTGAGTTTTGCTTTATTACCCCCCCTAATTGAAGTGCATAATCGCAGCTATGGTAACAACTTTGGCTGCCATTCATCTGTAGTGAGTGTAGGCTGTTAGTTCACTACTTACCTCAGCAATGTGTTGTGTGTCCTGTCTATTTACTCTACAGCGTGTGGCTGTAAAATCTTCTCACTTGTAACCAATAACAGCAACACTGAGGTGAATACTGAGCTGTTGAGGAATCCTGTCAGTAAGCGCTGCTGTTAGCCTCTGTTAGCCAGCGTAATAAAACTTTCTTTGAAGTGGATCAAACATAGTTCGACTTGGTAACTTAGCAAATAAAGACTTACACAATTTGAGAATGTAATCAAACTGTTTATCTGGGGGGAAATGTGACTTTTAGGACACTTAAGGTTAATATTAGCTGGCATAATGTTTGCTTTTAACCAACAAATTGGAGACGGGAGGGTCGCACACAAAATCCTGTGTTATCTGCTGACAATAAGTAATTCAACATCCTGACAATATCAGGAATAAATAAACATGTTTTGTGCATATTTTCATGTTTTAGAGCCCCGACTTTAGAAGAAGAGGCTTAAGTTGAAAGAGTGGAGGAGGATGACATTTTTTCCAGATGCTGGTCATGTTTCCTATGTGCTCTCACTCCTTTGGTGAAGGAGACCCCTTCTCAGATCATAAATGAACTTTCATATCTTGAGTCTGAAGGTGCCAACATGAAGTTCTGCTAAATAACTGCTCATCGATAACATTAACCGGCTGGCCTAAGCTTAGTTTGAGATGATGTAAAATGAGGAAAAGCTAGGCCTACTATAAATATACTCGTAATGTGATTACACTAGGTCAAATGACTTTTTTATCTTAAAAAAGAAAAAAGAAAAACTGAAAGAGATGTGAAAACAGAAACTGTAATAAGAGTTTCTGAAAAAGACAGAAATATCCAAGTTCGGTGTCACAAGAAAGTCTTATTATATTAGGAAAGACACATCAAGGAACAAATAAACCTGAATAAGAAAACACAACTTAAGTAAACTGAGTTTTTATAAGTGTTATTTGGTTGAGCTGAACCCTTAAACCCTTAGATACAGATTCGGTTTCAGTCATAATGAGTCGACGCTCTAGAGTATTACAGCTGCAAACTGTGTACGTGGGAAATCATTTGTAGCACTGTAAGGTGAGCTATCCGATGACACTAATATGTTTATCTGAGACTACTTCCAAGTGAAACTAGGTTACAGTGATTGACATTTTATCAGACTGTAACCTAAAACACAATCATTAAAATTATTAAGAAGAACAATTAAGGCCGTGCAAGTTTAGGTTAAAAGTTAGCACAAAGGCTGCATTAATTAACACAAACTCAACTTTATATGTGTAGAAATCTGTTTCATTTAAAGTAGTAAAGTGTTCATAAATGACCCCTTAAAGCTGTTTTTTCCCAGACTTAGCGGATTACAGTTGAGTAAGTGGGATTCATGTGGGGTCCTAGATCTGCGAACACGTTGCCTCTTTGAACTCTTTTTTTTTTTAGCTGACTTGTTCTATTTCTCAACACTCTGTGTTACTCTG